GGGCTCCGGCTGGCCCAGCCTGGCCGGGCTGGTAGCCCTGAGCTCGCCGGCACGGGTCCACGCCGGCCCCCGCTCACCGGCCACCGGGAGACAGGCGAGAACTTCATTACCTGATGGAACACCCCCAGATTTTCAGCCATGGCTGGCAGAATTGGACTCAGGTGTCTTAGCTACATGCACAAATCCCCTCCAAAGCATGCACAGACACAGCATATGGCCTCGGCGGCTATAGGCACTACCTTTCCCGAAGAAGGAGCCCCGTGCACTGAACGTGCAGCGCCTTCTTCTCCGCTTGCCTCCTCCCTCGTGGAACATAAGTCACGGCTCCTGTAGTGCTCCACAGCAAAGCCAGCACTAAACGTTTTAATAGCAAAGCTTCTAATGTGTTATTTGCTTATTGTTAGGAGTTAATGTTCTACATAATCTGAACATTACATTTAATCTCTTGGCTAAATAAGGCAATAAAAGTATAATACTACTGTGGTGTCCAGCATTTACAGCGTATGAGAATAGTCTTAGTGGGTCAAGCAGAGGAAGTGAGGGAGCATTTTAAAGAGAAACCGGGATTTTGGGGTGAAACCTAAATAAGTGTCCCTTTTACACACTGTCACACCAAAGAAATCATTTAGTTAGATATAAACAACTCGGCAAATCCCTGCACAACCTTAGGTTCTGCACACGCCGCTTCCCTGCCCTGTTCCTGGGAAAGGGGGTAAGATATCCACCGGCCCAAGCACGGATTTCGACATGCACAAGGAAAGAAATGCGAGAAGAACGGGTATGGTTTGCACTGGGTACTATGCCAGCAGCCCCGAGGTACCCTCAGAGCTCTCCTCCGCTCCCAGCATGAGTCTCAGTAGTTTCTCCAGTCAACCTTAAGGAATGGATACAGGTCATGTAGCCCTTAGCAGCTCCCTTTTATAAATTAATACCCTTTATGTGTCTTGCAGGAAGATAATCACAGTCTAACTTACATCTAGCCTGTCATTTGTTTCTGCTATTGAAACACTCCTTCCCCACCTAGGGTATTCATGGGTCACATTATGTCTTTCTCAGGTTGCAAAATTTCCCGGGGCAGTCCGTGCGGCTCTTGTTATGGAAGTGACTTTCCTGTTTGTAAGTGCATCAAGAATTTGAAACATGTAGATAACCAAAGGTGTTTCACCTTTATTAAGTGCCACTTTACTTACAAATGAGGTATGTAACATGCATTCATGTGAACTCAATATTTCTCCAGGAACTATTTGCATGATTGAAATAGGATGATGTACATAACACAAGCCATCGGGTTATACGCTTTGCCATCTTACACAAAGCCAACGCGTAAGATAACAAAGGCCTTTTCAAAAGGGTTTTGTCGGTGAGAAATACCTTTAGAGAATTTTTTATAGTATAGAGGAACATGACTATGAACCAGCACATTTGAGGATTTGCATTATCTAGAACATTGCTGAGATATTTCCCTCGGTACTCAGACCTTAGCCGGCCCCGTACTCATGATATCAACGTGATATCAGCCTCATACTCATGGTATCAACTCTTCATGCTCTTGTTCTTCTGGCTAGACAAGGCCACTGGTTGCCTACTACGGAGACTAGCCAATATTTGCTGTGAAGGAAAAGATCAAAAATACGCAACCGGCCAATCATGCGGTATTTCCCTAAACATCACTGGTGAGCAGTTTTTGCCCAGAAGCAAGAGACTGGACTTGCTTTATCACTACCAGCCCAGCCACAAATATGTCAGCATATTATCAAGCCGCTTCTTCCAATCCAGTAACAGCTCTGAACTCTGGACAGGGAACTGATAAGCACAAAACCAAATACTTTCTGCAGCAAATGATCACAGCTCTCTTTCAGTACCTTGTATTTCACATCTCAACAACTGTTAGATGATTCGTGCAGGATTTGGAAATTAGAATTTAGGGTTGCACTAAGACATTACTTTCCTTCTGTTGCCCATTGTGTTCGCAGTCATTGCCACCAGAAGGAGATCACACTGTGCCATTTTCAGTTCTCCTTGCTAGCTTCCTTGGGAGAATGATATGGCAGAGATTTTAATGTTGATAAATTATGCTGCTATAGCAATACTTTGCACCTCCATCGTGCGTGCCAGAGATCAGAAAGTCGAATGTGTGAATTACTACCTTCTGTAATTTTTAGATGGGGTAAGAAAAAAAGACAAAGTTGATCTCCACAAATACAAGAGAGAAAGAATCCAACCTGGGGTGTGACCGCCGTGCTTTCCTGGTGAGATCATAACAACATCATCCATTTCTTCTTCATTTATGACTTTAAACAACATTTGATTCTGATCTCCAGGCAAATGAGGCTAATCCTACCCTACGAGCGTTGCCTACTGCTCTAGCCTTGCTGCATTCTTGTGAGTTCTAGCAATTAAAGTATCGCCCTTTATATTACATGCTCTTTAGATGCTTTTAAGTTTATGTTGAGAGATGTCTAGGGCAGAATTGTGTCTTCCTATGTGTGGGCAGCACTTACCACCAGTAAAAATATCTTAGAGAAGATTGAACTACTAACTCAGGAAGGTTTCATTCAGAAGAAGTTAATAGACTGTATGAAATGACAATAAAAAGAAATCTGCAGAGCCCAAGAATCCCTTCAGAATTTCCCACAGCAGAAAACCATGAGATGCCACAACCTGTAGTGCTGAGGGTCCTCACTTGAGCCTGGACTCAGCCCGGCGCAGACACCGTGTCCGCACGGGGTCGGGGCACTCCTCGTGCGGTTCACCAGGAGGCAGAGTGGCTGCACGGCTCGCACCATGTCGTCTTCTTCTCCTGTGCCCCATTGCGAGGTGTAGACACGTTGGCTCATTCAGAACTAGTGCAAAATTTGCACAAATGAGAATAACCTTCTGCTTCATTTAGCACAGATTTGCCTTTGTTTAGCCCAAAGGACTTTTCAAGTTCTGCTGCAATATAATGCAGCAAAACTTAGGCTACTTCTAACTTCCTTTTAGGCAGTGGATGTAAAGTAAATCATGAAATACCCTTTAAAATGTAAGCAGAGGTACTAACTATATAAATTCATCCCTTGCACAGCCTATCTTCTGCGAAAGAGGAGATATTTTAGGGTCTTTAGAGTAGACAACCATTCTGCTCAAGCGTACAGTACCATGCAGACCGGCACAGCTGTATGGAAATTTGCCCCCATCAAAGCCCCCAGCGGAGCGTGGCACACAACTCAGCTAGCCTAGCAAGGGAAAGACACACAGAGCTCGCACTGCGCAGTCATTTAAGTTTTTTAAGTGCAAGGGCCTTGCTTTGCTTGTTTTGTTTCTGCAGTTTTGACTCTGACATCCTCAAGTCTGGAATACAATTGCTCTAATCAGAAGAGCTGACTGAAGTTATAATAAGACACAAAGAACGAAGGCAGAAAAAAACCAAAACAAATCCTTTTGAGGAATGGTTTAATCGCAACCGCTGCTACTCGAGCTAAAACGGGACGGGCACAATTCAAAACAGGACAATTAAGTCTGCTGCGATTTGGGCTGTTTTTTCTTACATATTTGGGCAGACGCAAAATCTGATGCCCTCATCTTGCTGCAGATGGAGGAAGGTGGGGCTCTCGTTTTGATTGTTCCTGCTTATCAATTTTGGCATTTCCAATTACTGTAGAACCTGGAAATAATCCTGTATTCTTTTACAACGTTTGAATATTTTTAATACTTTTAAAGCCTATGTGCAAACCCATCAGAACTGAATGGCTGCGCACTTCCACACACCCTCAGCCAACAATAAGAAAACTGCAAAGAAGAGAGAAAAAGGGAGGGGTGCAAAACTGAGTAGAAAATTAAAGACAGCAAAGTCTTGAGCTCCTGTTTTATTAAGCATAAAGTAATGATGCAAGTCTGGAACTGACACCCACACCATTAATGTTCATTCGCAGTGAACCCACATGATACAGTTTTAAAGGTAAAATTCAGCACCATGGAAACACAATATATGTGAAACTTAAAAATAATATATCGATAAATCAAGCTGGATGCATCAAAAGCAGCTTTCTTTGGAGGAGTCCTGGCAGCTCTCAGTATTTTCTCAGCACAACAGGAATGGAAAACAGGGAGCGGGGCTGGGCAACCAGAGTGAAGAGCGTGGGGAGGGTTTGAGCCACGGGGACTGGGAGAGCACTGGGGGAACAGGAACACTGAAGGAAGAGACAGAAGTCCTGGTTCATGCTCTTACCCACAGACCACACACAATAAACACTATAAAGACGTATCACAGGAACTAGTGAACGGATGGGGTGATTTTCATAGTTCTTCTATCTTTTTGTTTCAGTTCAAGCAAATCTCAACTATAGAGGACTTGAGAGGACATCAGAAATTTTTTCACTACTCATAATAATGAAACTGCCGTAAATAAGTACTTGCTGCGAGTATAAAGGTTTAATGCAGTATTTCATATCGGATGTCCGTTTTTTCTAGTATATCAGGGATAAGCTTATAGGTATAAAATTGGGAGTAAATATTTTCTACCAGACCTGTCCTTATTCTGGGCTTTAGAATCATTTTTTTTTTTATACTAGACTTCTTGAATTCTGGAATTAGCTTTTTTTTTCTGCTCTTCCACAGCATCTATGCTGCTTTTCCACACTACATGGAAATACCCTTTCACCGAGGCTTAAGTGAATGGATAATTAATATTTTTATCTGTGAACCAAGTAAAGCCCTGCCAATGCTAAGCATCCTATTGTAGCCATAAATGTATAAAAAAAATG